CCATATTACTCGTCTATTTCAGTCCACATAAAATTCCACCATCACCCAAACAGGCTCGTGTCACCAGGATTATGGGTGAACATTTTTATTCCTCCTTATAAGGGTAGCTTGTAGTTTTATGTCTTCCCAGGACACTACTTCTTGTTCCATTTTGCTTAGCTACATTGTTGGTAAAGAAATGGAGTGGGAAGCAAGTGCGGAAGTTGCCTGAGTGTGACCCTCACAGGCCCTAACCTCTGAAGTGTTTCTCCCCGGCGGTGTGACAGGGAAGGGTATTTCCCTCGCCCCTTGTTTTCTTCATGAATGTCATAAGAGAATCCGCTGAAACCTCAATGAAGGCACAGGTATTTTCCCCCGGTCATGGCAGGGGTGTCGTCTGACTCATGACTCTAGCACATGAACTCTGCCCACAGAAGTACTGCTTTCAGGAAAGAAAAGTCCAAATTTGGTCATACTGACTCCTCTTTCTCTTAACTTTCTTTTTACCAAAAAAATCAGTTCAATAACCCAAAAGCATGTTTTGCCTTTAATCTCCTTCTTTATGTGCCTCTGTCTGTGTCCCCATATGTCTCCCCAAGTCCCCCAAATCACAGAACTGTGGAACCCATTCACAGAGGAAGCTTCCCAGGTCCACAGGCTGCTTTTACAGGCTCTTCCCCCAAGCCGGTCTTTAAGGAGGCACAGACAGCAGCAACACACGTTTCTCATTCACCTGCAGGACAAGTCTATTTGCAGATATTTCCAATCAATCATTAAGTGATTGCTACTAGAAACTCTCCCAAAGGTCAACCCACCCTCCTAGAATTGTTCCTATTTAGAAAAACATTTAATTATCACCACCTATGATCTTTGTTGAGAGTACAGAAGGTGATCAGAGGGTGTTAAATTTCTAGGCTCAGGCAACAGGCCAGCTGCCCATCTGTCCACTTCAACTGTGTCCTTTCTGCAACTTTTCCATCTCTATCCTTGCACTGGAATTGAGGACAAAATATTCCGCCTCTTTTCCACCAGAGGATAAGCTCTGGTGATGCCAGACACTGTACAAAGCTTTTGTCTTCCAGGAATCCCATCTATTCTCTCCTCCTGGATCTAGGTTGTTTCTTCTGTCCAGACTCTCATGGCTGACTCAGGTGAGATGTACTATTTATCCTGAAGGTGTTGTGACTTCAACAAAGTACTCTACAAACTATGAGATTTGTAAATTTGTCATTTTTTCCTGATACTGGGTAGCCAATTGCTGAATGAGTCACAAATTACACTAGGAAGGTGGTTGTTACTAATGCTGCCTTGAACGAAGTAGAAAAGATCAATGTTAAAGCCTGGGGAACAGACTGTGACACATGCTGTGGGCAGGGGACAGATGTATGCTGAGTGAACAGACAATGTTCTGGAGGTGGTGTGGGGCTATCGGAGTTCAGTGGAAGGGGATGTCTCGGAGAAACATAAAGGGGAAGGAAATGCAGGGCAGGAAGCTGGCCAGAACAGAAGAAGATGACTTAATTAGTGAAATTGTTAAAGAGAAAGATAGCTAAGAGTGGAAGCCATGGGCTCCAGGCTTGTTTCCCTCTTTCCTATGGTCCTGGCCCAGCTATTTAATCCTCTTGGAGTTCCACTTTTCCATCCACAGAATAGTTACAGAAATGTTTTACATAGAGTTGCTACAAAGGTTCCAGTTATTGTTTTTCTTTTGCATGTATTTGATATACAACTCTCAGGTGGGTGTACAAAGAAATGTCCAACAAGTAAGCAAGCGTCTAGGAAGGCAATGTTGTTTGAAGGGGAAACAATCATTCCCAATATTCTGAAATCACAGGTTATTTATAAGTCTTCCCCTAATGGGATCTAGGGCCAGTAATGTGTACAAAAGAACATTGTCTCAGCAGGACCTGCTGGTAATCTCTGCACACACGCCCATGTCACTGTGAAGGCGTAACAGGAAGCTCGATGCCATTCTGTCAGCCTCACTGATCTCTTCCAGCTGGAAGTCATCTTGCTCTGCTCTGAGCCCTCCCAGATCCTCATCTGTCCTTTTCTGGCCACACACTTCTGTGGCCACCTCAGCCCCTGGCTTGTCTCACCCTTTAAAAGGGAAGCCTCTTGAAGGCAGGCACCATGGCTGGGTCACTGCTGGCTGCTGCACAGTTCTGTCTAGGCATCTGCGATGGTAGACATTTGCTATGTGCTTTCTGAGTAGGCGGGAGCTGGATGGACCGGCAGAGGTTTGGATGCACCACCCTGTTTGTTCAGCACTGGATCCCGAGGCATTCGCACGGGGCCTGGCCCAAGGTGCATAAACAACACATACGAGCTCAGTGAGTGGATAGTGCACAACTCTTAGAAGTTACTTAATGACTGACTTATATACTTTTGAATCACAAGAAACCAACGATCCTAGAAAGAGTGCCAGTGGTGTTTCACTTAAAGCCTTCTTTCCCAAGAGAAAGTGTGCATTCAGTCCATGTCAAGTACTTTCCCCCTACATTATAATGGATGTTGGCAAACTATGCAGTGGACCACATTTAGCCCCTAGCCTGAGGAAGTCTGAGGTCTGATTCTCCAACAGCCTCACACGAGGCTCCCTGTTTCCAGTGTCGCCTCACTCAAAGTGGTCATTTGAAAATGCCAATTTGCCCAGGTCCCTTAAAGCCTCCCCCACCCTTCAGTATTCAGCCCTCCCTCTGCTTCCACGTTGTAACCCCAAATTGCTGTCCACAGTGCCCCAGCTTCCTGCTCTCCATAGCATCCCCCACATCCTGGCATCTCTGGGAGCCTGCCAATTCGTATTCACCCAGTCATCTCTCACCTGGCATGGTCCCACCTGGGGTCTCTGGCTCTGGGAACCCTCCCTCTGTGTCCCCAGCATCTACTCTGAAGGAGGTCCAGGTGGAGTGTGGTGGAAGGCGCTGCCTTCTTTCTCCTTTGCCTCTACTGCTCCTGAGAATACCCCTCTGTCTGGCTTCTCCACACTACCTGTTCCTACCCTCAAAGTCTTACTTGAAATGTCATTTCCTCAGAAAGTCAGCTCTTGAATCTAGCCCAGATCCAAACCCTAGAACTATCTTTGCAGCCTTTTCCCCAAAGCATTTATTTCCCGCTTTTAAGTGACTTATAAACATATTATCTCTTAATGACTTCCTACCTGTGTTAGTTAGCTTTGTGTAGTGACAAAATACCTGAGAAAAATAACTTGAAGGAAGAAAGTTTTATTTTGGCTCATGGTTTCAGTTCATAGTCAGCTGGTTCTAAGGCAGGACCTCGTGGCAAAAGGTCACAGAGGAAGAAAGCTATTCCCTTTATGGCAACTGGGAGAGAGCGAAAGAGCCAGAGAGCCTGGGCTAGTAGAATCCTTCCTTCTCCTTTGTTCCCTCTAGGCTTCTTAGGCCATTGGATGGTGCCACCCACAATCAGTGTGGACTCAATTTGCTGTCCCATGGACACATTATGTCTGGAAACACCCTCAGAGACACACCTGAAAGTGTGCTCAACTGTAAGTAGACATAGTATCCATTCAGTCAAATCACAAGATCAGTCACCAAGTCAATCAAGTTGACAAGATTAAGCATCACACTACTCTGGAGACAAACAGCTTTACAAGGTGAGAAACTCCTCAGTTTCCCAGCAAGAGCTATCCCAGTGACGTGGCTGTCAAGAGGTGGTCAGGGTCTGGTGGATGAATAGAGCTGTCTGCACTCTCCTAAGGTATGATAGCCAGGTTGATGGTGAGTTAACAAAATCACTAACACAGAAACTGACTTCTCCATCCAAAGATGAATGTGTGTATTGGGCTTCAAGCTGAGAATAGGTCTTGTCCTTGTGGAGAAGTGACAGACACTAAGAAAGACAAGGTTTACTTGGTACACATGAGAGTATTGGCTTGCCCAATGAAGAGAAAGTCATTGGTCTCCACTTTTCCTAAACAGCACAAAGAAGCCAGGCATAGTGTAACTGCAGCCTGGATGCAAACCTGTTCCACAGAGGGTAAGGTAGGGAGGCTGGGGTGGGTCGCCTGGTTTCAAACAATGGCCCTATGTGTAGGTGCTTGCTTCCAAATCTAATCAGATTCCAAAGGCCTGTGAGGGTTTGTTTATTTATTTATGAAAATGAGGGCCCTGTGCTTTGTGAAATAAGCACCTTTAGTGCAGCAGGGTGTGCATGCTGGTACACATCACTCTGAAACACAAGTGTTCATTGGCCCAGCAAAGTCCAGCCGAGATGCTTCAATTTGAAGTAGCATTTATTTTCTGCTGGTTTAGAGTGTGCTCCCCTTAGCAACAACCTCTGGCTGTCCCAGAATCGCCAATCAGTGGATTGTTCCTCAGCCTTCCTGTGCACCCTGCCTTCAGTCCTCACACAGAGGGGCAATCTGCCCTCTTTCCCCCAGGTGAGCTGTTCCCTGACAACTGGAACCAATTCCTGTGAAGGGTGGAATGAGATATACATAGAGTACTTTCCCTGGTACAGGGTCTATTTTTGAAGCAGAGCATGGAAGGAATGTGATGATGAGATGCAAAACAAAACAAAACAAGATTTTTTGGGGGGCTGGCCCCCACTTCAAGCCTCTTCCTGACCAAGTTTGTATTTGCTGAGGCCTCTTCTAGGCAGCCCCACTTTCTGGCCTGCCTTGCAAAACAGAAGAGAGGGGTAGCTGTGTAAATGGGCCCCTGTTTGCTTTTGAAGCAAGCACAGGTAAGAAGGGGTTCATTCGCAGGAGCCCTGTAAGCCCAAATAGCAGGTGGCGGCTGGGAGGAAAGAAAGAAACCCTAGAACATTTCAGTCTTCGTGATTCCACTATCTGTCCTTCTCATCAGAGTGTGACTACTAGTTGATTTTGAGGAAAGTTCCAGTACCTTGGGCTATTTGCATCCTTCTCTTTTCTCACAGAGTTTGCTCAAGCGGATCTGGTCACGTGGCTTCTGCTTTGCACCCACTCCCGGTTCCTCTTTCTCAGGCGGAAGACTCAGAGCTCGTGCACGATCACTTCCCCACAGTGAGGAGCTGCCACCAACTGTCGCTCCCGGGCTGAGTGGTGATGTGTCCGGCCAGAGGAGAAGGGGATTCAGAGGGAAAGACCTCCTAACTGCATGTGCATGTGTAGTCCAGACAGCACAGCAAGGATCAGAAGTGGGTCCAAGTTCATGAGACGTGGGCTCATTTCTTCCTGTCGGTTGGACTAACTTTCCCTATCTGATAAATGATCTACACATCTCTCACTTGTTACCGCGCAGGGCTGCATGGCTGTCAAGGGAGGCGCTAGGTGTGGAGGGGTCATGCAAACTCTGCATCTCTCTCTGCCAGGACTAGGAGTCAGATGTGCAGCGGAGCAGGTTCTCTCCTCAGCCGCTGCTGTGCATGAGCATCATGTGAAGGAGTGCAGAAAAAAACGGCATCCGGACACCATCTCCAGAAAGGGCAGGGCCTGTTGTTGGCCTTTATAAAAAAATACAGTTTCACTCAGGAGCAGGAGAACTGTGGATGTTGAAAGAAAGGAGAACTTGTATCTTAGGGTGGGTATCAGAAAGAGCCTTGAAAGGAAGCGCGGGGTTTTGAAAAATACAAAAGAACCATGCCAAGGGCAAATGACAAGGTGGGGGAAATGGATAGGATGGAGGAGCGTGTCCCATGGTGAGGGAACTGTGGTGATGATCACGCAGTGCGCTGGGGTGGGGGCGAGGACCAGGGAGGCAGCCTAGGGCCTCCCAGTGTTTCTCCTGGTGGCTGCACCTCACCTTGTCCTCTCTGTGAGTCTGCACTGCTACAGCATGTGTAACTACCTGAGTGTGTACCTGTCTCCTTCAATGGGCAAAAGCTCTTTGAGCAGAGTCTGTTCTTTTCACTACTCAATTCTCAGCACCTAGCAAGGTGCCTGGCATAGACAAGAGTGTAAGCATTTGTTGTCTGAATGACAGGAACTGAGAGTTTCCTAAGGGTTTTGTGTAGGTTTGATTTGCCACTGATTCAATGGGATGACCAAGATCCATTCTTTTGTGGCTTTGGATTTCAGAGTCTTCCTCTTGTGAGATTTGAGGGTTCTAGGAATTTAAGAATGTGAATCTCATCCAGCCTAGATAGTGAATTAAGTTTGGTTAGATACTGGGTTTTAATAAGAACACACTGATTTAGATCTGGGCTTCTCAAACTTCGATATATAGGCTGAGTTACCCAGTGAGCTTGTTATAACGGTGTACTTTGATCTCACTTACACTGGCAGTGGTTAAGTTCTGTCCGTATGATGCCAAACTAATCCACTGAAAATATCTCTCCCCAGACTTTGAAATAATGGTTTTTCTTTTATTCTTGGCATTCTTTTATTCTGTGTTTGTTAGACCTAGTGGATTTAGGTGAACTAAAACTGAGCTCAAATTCTGTCTCTAATATTTCCTAACATTGTGATCTCATGCAAGTTACCTTGAGCTCTTAGCCCCAATGTCTTAATCCATTGGATGGAATCAAAAGATAATTCTCAAGAAAATGATGCCATGATATGAAGCTTCATAGGACAATGCAGGCAATAGAGGCAGCACCTCCACCTGCTCAATGTGGGGAAGCCCTCTCAGTGAGTCAGCAACCCAGGAAGTGAAGGGGGTGCAGAGCAATAGGTCTCTTTTTTTCTTCACGAAAAGTGGAGCTTTGTAGAAAAGGCAGTACCTTTTCACTTCCTTTCTTCAGGTTGCTTGAAACTTCCAGGTGTGGCTTAGCATAGAACTAAGAGAAGGAAAGGGTGAAAGTGTGAATTTCTCAGCCGGAGGAGCTGACTCACAGCTCCTCAGGGACAGCAAACTACCCACAAGCTTTGTGGGGGCGATGCTGGGGGAACTTGGGGAAACATAAGGAAGAGAGGAAGAACAGAGCATCCCAGGGACCTCCCCTCCCATTGTACCACCCAGCCGTCTCCCTTCCACACTCCTATTTGGTACTGAACACTCATTCTTGCTCACTGACCTTCAGACACAATAAGTTTATATAGCTGGAGTAAAGAAACCAGAAGAATTTCATATTCTGGCCTTCTGGAAAGTACAGTTATGTGACTTGAGCTTCACCCTAGTCTCTGTTTGTCACCTCTGCAATCATTTTTCAGGCTCCTAAATAATAAGCTCTAAAGGTAATTCCTGGGGTGATTTGCAGTGGTTTTCCATCAGAATAGGTGTAATGCCATTTATCAATATTCCCTTGTCCTCTTTACTAGTCTTTCAATTTCTGGGCACCCACTGGCCTTCTGCTAACCCTAATTGGTTCAAATGACATTTTTTGGGACCTCACTGAGCAAGTCCTTGCTCACGTGTGTGTGAGCTCCGTATTTACCTTTCCCATGCTACTTTACATTTTCTACTAGTAAGTAGGAGTTAGGAAAATAATCTGATTATGGAAGTAATCCTGTGACCATCTGCTTGATTCATCACTCCCAGAGGGAATTTACATATTAAAAGAGTAGCTTCTTAAAGTGATGCCTTTAGTTTTGTGGGTTACTTACAGGAATGCTCATTATACATACTGGGGGAATGGAAAACATGCAAATGTTCAGGGCTAAAAGTTGTGGGTTTTGGTGACCTTCAGTGGACATTGAGCATCTACAGTTTGGAAAACTTTACAAATGACTCTGACTCCCAGAGTTGCAAACTCCTGGTTTATTGGTGGATTTTATAGAGAATATTGAACATTTTTTCCTTTGTCTACTCTTGCCTTAAAAAACCCACCAGTTATTCATTACCATGTAATAAAATACTATAAAACTTAATGACTTCAATAAAAATATTAATATTTCCCTCAACTCAGTAGGTTGTCTGTGCTGAGCAGGGCGGATCTTCTGCTCCAAAGGTCATTCTTTGGCCACAGGTCTGGTCTGGACTGGAAGCCCTGGGCATCTTCACTCTCATGTTCTCTTCCACGTGTCCCTCACATAGCTGGTGTGCTCTTCCTCACAGCATGAAAGTCTCTGGGATGATCAGATGTCATTGCCAGTGGCTGCCAGACTTCTTAGAGGAGAAGGCTAGCATTTCCTCCATTGCATTTGTCAGAGCAAAGCAAGTCATGAGGTGATGCTATGTTGAAGATGACAGGGGCGAAATGATACATTTTGCTGGGAAGAGCCTTGTGTGCATGTAGGAAGGCTAGGACCTGATGATGTTATCTTTGGAGGCTGTTTGCCACTGTGCTGAAAACAGCAATCAGAGGCACAGCACCCACCTCTGGAGGCTAATGACTCTCACAGCAAGGAGAAAAGCACAAGATGGTTCTCCGTGTCGCATCACAGGAGCATTTGAGGACCTCGATAGCTTTCTGACACTATTTGAGGACTTACCCAGTTTCTCCCTCTCTAATTTGTTGTAGACCTGGCTCAAGTCACCAACCGCAGCTGGAAGAGACCCAGGCAGTCACTCCGCACATGCAGTGCAGGTCCCTAAAACCTCAGGGAGTTCTGTCAGAGGATCACATAATCGAGAAAGAAGAATCCAGGATTTGAGCCTAATGGAAATGGCTTAGACTCTTAAAACTGCAAGTTTAGCCCTTTGGTAGAATTGGTTTTTTTTTTTTTTTTTTTGCCTTCAGAAAAATGCCCATGATATCTTATCTCAGGGCTTTCTTGAAAACTCAAGGTGATAGATGCTGCCTGAACCATTTATCACACATTGTACCTACTGCTACCAAGCTGTATTTCTCTTTCTTAAAAGACCTAACTTTGCAAATGCATTTAAACTCATACAGCCAAGAAAGAAGACATTGCACAGAATAGTCATGGGAGAAGTGGGGCAGAGAGCATGAGGAGCTGTGTGTACGTTTAATGAATGAGGGTTAATAATTTGTATAATTTGAAACATGGAAGGCAGTCTGTTGAGTCACCTGAAATAATTTCTTCAATATGGATAAGCCTTGTGTGTGGTTTCAGGTCGTTTTCCAGAGCAATGATTACACTTCCCTTGGCAAGAGGATTGCTTCCGGAAAGCTTTGGGAGGGGTCTTCGAGGAAGAGGGGTGCTTCAAGCCAGGGAGCCATCGGGCTAAAATCTGAAGCAACCTACAAAGAGTAGAAAAGAGGAACGGGCTGCAAAAGATGGGCACAGTGCCTGGAATTTCATGCTGATATCATCTCCTTCGTGGTAGAGGGGAAATCCAAGGAAATCCACCAGTGCATCACCAGGTACCTGCCTTATCAGAGCAAAACCACGGGGAACAACGACTGTATTGTTTCACAAGGCACCTTTCGGTCCAGTGGAGAACATTAGTTTCACATGCCTCTGTCTACAGCTGTGCCTGTCTTAGTGCAGTTGTGCTCACCCAGCAGACTACCTGAGACAGAGTGATGCTAAAGGAGAGACCTGTTTCTGACAGTGTGGGAGATAGGAAGGCCAAGGTGCAGGGGCCAGAGATCCAGGGATGTGTGAGAGAGGGAGGAGCTGCTCTCACCCTCTCATCAGGACCCAGCTCTGTGGACAACTAATCCACTCCTGCGAGCGCAGGGCAATGACTCTCCCACGTCCGGTCTGAGCCCTAGGACAGGTCCCCTCTCAGCACCGCGGACTAGGGTGATGCGCTCTCCTCAGTTCGGTGCTGTTGTGCTCCCGGCCATTTTCAGCAACACATCTCTCAGCTCAGAGACCAGGTGTCTGTGCACAGCACACCGGGTCTAAGAGCGCCAGGCAGCAGCCAGGGGGCCTTTTCCCTTCTAACACTTTCTTCCCGGGACTAAGAGACAGAATCTTGGGGGTAGGGAGGCCGAGGAGCAGAGTGCTACTGTCGGCTGCGTGGTGGGCCCCTCGCTCCCTTCGTGTATTCTTAAAGCGATGCAGTGTAGGCTTTTTTACCCTTATTTTGTGGAAGGATAAACTGAGGCGTAGAGAGTCAGTCAACCAGGGAAGCAAAAATTCACAACCCCAAAATAACCAATCATAGAATGTGTATTTAACAGTAAAATGAACAATTCAGGAAGACATGTCCTAAACATTTTACTCAAACAAACAAACAAAACCTAAAAATGCAAGGAAAAATGGCAAAGCTGCCTCTAACAGAATTGATAGAAAAATCTGACCTGAAATTTTGAAAAGTAGTTAATTTGAATAATTTTTAAAAGCTTAGTTTAGGATCTATTAAGAGACTACACATAGATGATGTTATTCTCTTTCATGTAAGTGGCAGCTGTAAAATCCTGACCTATATTTGGTCAAAAGAAAAAAGAAAAAAACTTTAAAATATTCCTCCAAACAGATACTTCTAAAGTTGTCATTTTCTGAGCATAACTCAGTAAATCTAGGAATTAAGGAGGAATCTTTATATATCAACAAGTAGATAAACAGAGCACACAGATTTAAAAAATAGTTTAACCATTGGAGAAAACATATGTATCGAATATTTGTTAATATATTCCTTGGAGCAAAGAAGAAATAAAAATACAAATCAAATCTTATCTAGAAATCAATGAAAATGGATTGTTATCAAAAGCTACTGGATATAAACCTTTACTTGCAGAGAAATGTGTTGCCAAAAATGCCTTTATTATTTCATTGCTCAAAATAAATGAGTGACTCTAATTAAGAATCTACGAGTAAAATCACAAAGTAAATCATGAGTGAAATGACAAATGAAGAAGGTGAGATCCCTGATGTAGAAAACAGCATTTTTACCTAGAAAGGAGAGAAGAGAGCAAAGCTAGTTCTCTGAAAAGATGGTGAGCGAAATTCTGACACCTCCTGAAGGCAGAAGGGTACAACTAACTTGCCCTGACCCAGGTGAGACATCTGTCATTTAAGCCCTGTCTGTCTGCTTCATGGGCCCTGTCTGATCAATTACCCACTGTAAAACCGATTTAAATCATAACAAACCCCAGGTAAATGCAGGTCTCCAAGATTCCCAGCACACAAGGAATTTGCATACAAAGCTGCAGCAACCCACATCTTCCTTTTCCTAGTGTGGTTCTAAAGCAATTGGAGTCTGGGTAATACAGGATTCTTTCAAGATGCAGTGGCTTTTCCTATTTTTGTTAGAAAAGTCCTATAAATCGCCCACCATAAGTACATTCCAGAGAAAGATGAAGAAAGTGAAACGAAGAGAAGTAAAATGCCCAGTCCTGAACGACAAAGCAGAATTAGACTCCACGGAACTAACCAAACAGATTGTAACAGGCATAGTTTTAGGTAGATTATCTGTAAGTTAGGTTCTATGATTAGCCCCATTTTGCCAGTGATGACACTGAGCTACAGAGTCATAGAGCCACCTGCCCAAGGCCACACAGCCAGCAAATAGCAAAGCAGGGTCACACTCTGGCCTCCTGACTCTGGAGCCCCCAGTGACCAGCAACCCATGGAGCCTCTTCCTGACATCCCCTGCAGGAAGTCACCTCCCCTGATGCTGCATCCTGCATTCCGCTGCATCCCCCAGGGCCTTCACTTCCTCTCTGGCCCTGCGTCTGTTATGTCACTTCACACATGCAGGGCTTAGGAAGGCCCATGCAGAGAAACCCAGAGCTCCCCTTCCTTGGCTGCTCAGTTCCTCCCCTCAGCTGATGCTTTTCTGTTGTCTAAGTGGAATGTTACTCAAACGTTTCCACCCGAGCTGAGCTTCCTTTCAAAGGATGAATAAAAGAATGAGGTGTTTTGTTTTCCTTTGCTCCCTGGCAGCACCTATGTTAAGAATTTGTGCTTAAACCATGACTCATTAATTCTTGGAGCAGAGTTACAAGGAAGTGAATGGATCTAATGCCTCTCTGAGATGTGGGCTTGAGCTCCTGTGGGAAAGAATCAACTGGAACCGCTCAGGCAAAGTTTCATTCAAAACACAAAAAGCCTCTCCACCCCTGCCCCTTCCCCAACAGCTCCCAACACGACTGTGTTGTTGCAGTAGCTCCATTTTCTTTCTTGTATGACTGTCAAATATTTCAGGCAAGTGATATCTCGTTCCTTTGTATGTGGGTGTGTGTGGATTGTTCGGGTTTATAATTATTAACTGAATCATTGGTTTGTTGTTTGATAGGCAGTTGGATTTGGGAACAGTTATTTACAGAACAAGGCAGGAGGGAGTTGGTTTAAATACAGTGCAGGGTAAATAAGCTTTGAAAAATACCTAGTTTTTGTAGACTGAAGTACAATAAGCATTCAGCTAAACTCAGTGAATTTTAACTCCCTCTGTCTATGCACGTTAGGGGCAGAAACGATCTTCTACTGGAACATTGAGATCCAGTTCTCAGCACATAGAAAGGTGTCCTCAGAGCTTCTTTTCTAGAAAGTAACCTATGTGGGCAGCCCAAACTCCCTTTCTCCAGCCCCGGGAATGAGACTGAATGGAATGCTCTTCAAGCAATTCATGGTCAACAGGAATGCAGGAATGGCAGGGAGTCAGCCTGCAGGGTACTGGAGATCCACAAGTGGGTGGCTCACACAGTGGTGCGCAGGATGTTTTCTTTGGAAGGGATCATCCAAAGAATTTCTTTTCTTTGAACAAGACAATGAGGAGTGGGAAGTCACTCTGGGTGTGACTGTTTATCTCTCTTCTTTCATGTGCATTGCCCAATTCCTTCCAAAACTGAAGGTTTGGAGCCAAGAGACATTTAGAGACTCAGCTAGAACTCCAGAGGCCAACGATCTTTCCCCTACTAGTCTTCACTCCCCTGTTCATCAGATCCAAAGGACTGCCTAAAAGGTGTTTCTGTAAACTACCGCACAGAGTAAAAAATGAGCTTACCACCGAATGTCCCCTCAGTATCACCATGACACAACTTCTGGAAAATGTAGCACCATGTCTGTCCAATTCAGGACTCAGTACACTCCCACCAAAATCACAGTCAGGGCTACGCACTAGCATTGCTACCTTCATTTAAGTCAGCACCGGTAATCACTCACTTATGAGCTCTTAACAGCCAGGTGGTGTCCTAGGCCCTGGGAATATCAGGAACAGTAGGCCATGACTTATGCCTTGGAGACCAGTAGCCTCTTGGAGTGATCCAGAAAATTAAATTATTCCCATCTTGTCTGATTACCAGGGCTGCCATATTCACAATACCCAGAGCTGCTGTGGACAAAATTTGTAAATAATTCACACCCAAATAAAAGCAAAAGTTATGCTAAGCAAAACCTTTCTTCCTTGTTGAATGTCTGCCTGCTCACTAGATTTTAGGATCTAGGGAAATAGTTCATTGTCTCTATTCTCCATCTAGGTAAATCCAGCATCTGACCCAAAGCTTTGCTTAAAATATGCCATCTCCATTAATAAAAGGACTGGACATAGGAACAGGGATGAAGGAGCAGAGCTGAGATTAGTGAAGAAAAGAGGATTTTGACAATAGTTGATGCTAAACTGGGGAGAAATGGGAGACATTTATTTTTCATCAGGGTAAGCACATGTTTGTATGTACATATATAGTATATGTATGTGTTTATATGTTAGACTTCAGTATCTTATTTCTACAATAACGTTTGGGGAATGGTCAGAATATAACTTTGCTTACACTCAGTCCTTATGCTAAAAATTTGACTTTTGTGCTTCCGGTGGTTTGCTTTGACAGTACTGTGCTTTCAGTGGTGGGAACTGAAAAACTGGAGAGCTTCAAGGTAATATTTAAATAAAGGGTTTGAAAGATTGGTAAGAATTGTACAATATTATTTCTAAGGAGCAGTTCTAGTGCTCCTCCTCTCCTTCCTCCTCCCATTCCCCTTTGTTTTTCATCTTTTTCTCCTTAACTCTCCTCCTCCTCCTCCTCTCCGGCTTCCATCTTTTCCTTTACAATGGGAAGTTGATAGGCATGTAGTGGGTTATTCATAATGCTAAGCTGAATGTATAATACAGCCACAATCACTTGGAAAGCACTGTGCCCTGCCTAGCTTGGAGGCACCTGAGTAACATAAACACACTGTCATTCTAGGACACCATTTTTTTGGATGGCTGGTAAAGCAACTGCAACAAAAACTCTTGCCCCCGAGCATTTAGATTTTATCTTCTCCCAACAGAAAGTTTTATTTTGATTTTCTTTTTTTTTCTTCTATTGAGTTTATTGGTACATTTTAGGTATACAGTACAGTTACATTTATTATTGGGATCTTGTACCTTTACATGACAGGTGGTCTTGGTCCTCATTTTTTTCCCCTTGTCCTCGCCCTCCCTTCACCCCCTCCTCCCCTCCCCATTTACAAACACTTTATTTCCATTTTTTCATTTTCTCATATATTTTTCCCTTATTACCTTTCCCTACTCTTCCCATTTTCCCTACACCTTTAGCCCTTTTCTTCCCATTTCACAATGTCAGTTATCTCATTAGGATCTTATTCACAGCAGAGAAACTATTCAGTATTTACACATGTGTGACTTTTTTATTTCACTTAGAAGTATATCCTCAATATGTATCCATTTTCCTATGAATGAGTGTAATTTCTCATTCTTTATGGCTGAGTAGTATTCCATTTTATAGAAAAACCACATTTTCTTTATCCAATCTCCAACTGAGTTTTGTTTTGATTTTCAGATGCAGCTTTGAATCCTTTCTCTGAACCCATCAGTCATCCCATGGTTAAGGTAGGAAGCGGCTTGGACTCACACCATAGACAACTGGGATAGCAGTTGAAGACCCCACTATGCCCAGGCTTTGCAGCAATGGTGTTGGAGTCCTGTCCTGGCATAATGTCAATTCTCTTCTGTCAAAGAAGGTTTCATGGAGAAAACAGAAAAACATTCAGAATTACCCAACTGATGAAAGGTGCCATACATCTTGACAGCATTTTCAGATTTATCATTCATTTACCCATTTGTGCTTCCATCCATCTGTCTATGCACCTATCCATTTCTACTTCTCTTCCCAGACAGTCTAGGAACGAGGTTGATCAATGAGAATGTCTTGGGGAGGAAGATAAAGAAAATGTTCTTATTTTTGGCATTCTGGCAGTAAGTGGGTAATAGAATCACATTGGATAGCAATGTTAAGAAAGATCAAAGGTGTATGAAATGAAGAAGCAGGACACATTGAGACACTAGAACCAAGACCATAAAGCCAGATGCTCTAGTAGCTAGCAAATATATAAAGCAAGACCGACAGGCCAGATTGGTACTTAAACTAGTTCATTCTTTACTTCTATAACTTATTATATGGTGCCAATACTAGTACCAATGCTGTGCTGTGGACTTAACATTCAGTAATGAATGAGAGTAACTGTTTCCCTACTTTAGTAGACCTTACATTCAATGGGGACAATCAATAACATATAAATAGATTTGCAAAATGTAACAAAATCATTCAAAGAATGGCAAGAGCTCTGGAGATAAGAAAACTAGGCAACAGATAAAACAGAACTGAGTAGGCAATCTTAAGGGGCAGTCTGGGAAGACCCATTGGAAGGACATAAACTTGAATTGAGATCCAAATGGCAAGCAGAACTAGAAAGGTAGAGAGTTGGAAGAGGAGCACACTGGGCAGAGACCATGGCAACTGTGGAGCTCTGAGCAAATTCACAGGTGGGCTGGTCCCCTCCAGAGGTTTAAGTGGGCAGCACAGATTTCCACAAAGGACCAAGGACACAGGAAGCCAGCTGTTAGCATTTTATTTGTTCACCTGTTGATGCATCAATCCGTCCTCCCACCCACTAATCCATAACCATCCATCACATCTTTTGACTGTACCCCAACACCATGGTCTGTCCTAGGCCCCAGGGCTACAGGAACGCATAAACCCACAATCTCTGCACTTGAGGGGCAAATCATCAGTTCCCACAGTCACTCAGTGATACAGCCTGGCCTGTGATTGAGTACTCACTTCACTGATGAGAAAACTGTAGCACAGAGTTAAATGACCCAATCTGGTCTTGCCCATGTGGTTACTGGCAGAACTTAAGCACTTTATCTTCCTTCCTTAATCAGGGAAAGCATTATGTATGACCTAGTTTTTCAAATTCCTTCCTCGGTAGGGCAACAATTAGAGTTTATGTATTGCTAATGCTTATAATTTTAGGTTTCTTTAACGAGAGTATTTTAAATTAGTGTTATTTTAATTTTACTTATCTCTTGAGACATCCTAGAGGATGAATAGCAAACAAAAAATAATGCACATGAAAGGACTTTGTAACCTTTTTGTGTACCATGCAGATGTGAGTTACATATAGTTTTATATTCAATGATATTGCTTCATGTATTAGAACTGATTCCTCCTCAGGGATCTCTTCAGAGCCTTTCAGAATAAAATAGACTTTAAGACCTGTGCTTCAAAGATATTTGATATTTTCCTTAAAGTTAAAACTGGCTCACAGTAGGTTTGTAACAAATATTTGCTCAGTGAATGGCTAAGATGGAGCATGAGGTAGACACAGATGCTCACTGTGCATGAGATAACTGGTTCCTAACTCGCTGTCACCTTATGGGGACTCTTGGAGCTCTGTAACACGGGCCACGGAATTGCTGTTTCCACCACAGGAACCAGATGCATGTGGCTCAGAGAAGGAAAACCACTGTTTTTGGGAAAAGACATGAAATGACCTAGAGGTACATTACCTAATGCTTTCAAAGTATTTTTAATTTTCCTTATTTTTTAACAGTTGGCTCTAGTGCTCTACTTTGACATAATATTGTGTTTACTTTTGTTTTTCCTTCTTAGCGAGTGAGTCTTTAAATTGAGAACCACAAACAGCTGTCTTAACCTAAAGAGTCCTCAGCAATGCTCCATTCGTGTTTTAGAGCCAAGATGTCTGGATTCAAATCTGGTGTCTGACTCTTGGCTATTTTTTTTTAAACTACTTTGGGCCTAAATTTCTTACAAAAGGAAAGGCTTGTATAGGTTTTGTGCTTATTAAAGGAAAAAAAGTTCAATATACTTAATAATAGACTTGTGTGAAGGATTAAATAAATTGGTGTCAATTATTTGGAATAACACTTAATAAATGCTCAGGAAGTGCTAGTTGGTATGTGTCTCCTCGCTTCTGTCTCCCATTGGCTAGTAATGGTTAGAGGGCTCTGACCAACTTCATTCACACTGCTCTCCGTGCTTTGGGACAAGTGTGGTAATGTCACTGGCCTGGGTATGGGGTCTCAGGCCCAAGAGGAAGGAAGGTCCTGGTGGCAAAAGTAATATACACAACCATGGTCAGTAATATGCTAATGCACTGTCTAAAAGGGCAAAATTAGCACAGATGTCTCTGGATGAACATAACATTTTCAAGAGAGAAAGTGTGACCAGGATGTAAAAATGTCATGGAAAATGATCCTCTGGTGAAGAGCTATTGTTGAGCATGGAAATTCCTGGGTCTGAAAACGAAAGGTGCCAGACCCTGAGCTCTAATACGCTGATGAGCTTGCCCATCCACAACATCAGGAAAGTAACTAAATTTATTTTGGGGTATAAATCAAATATTTAAACCAAAAATATTAAGAATTGCAGCAGCCTGCTTTTAGGCTTTGATAGTTTTCAAAGATTTTAACGTTCTAGAAAAAGATAACCATTAAAAACATGCATTGGGAGCTGCACCTAGAGGCACATGTATTCCCTTCACTTCAGATGCACCACTGTTTGGCAGGACCAGGGTGTCCCTGTAGTGACTGGGTCCAGCTGGCTTTCATCCACATTCCAGCCTTTCTGGGCAGGACAGTGGCAGCACTGCTGAGGTTAGAGCACACAGGACACAGAGCTCATGTCCTTGGGCTACCTGTGCCATTTCTCTCCCAGGACATTTTATTGTTCTTCTCATTGGTCTTACCAACATATGAGACCAGAGAGAGGAGATAGGGCTGGGCAAGGTGCCACTGTGAGTGTAAACCACAGGGGACAGACAAATTGTGTACATTGGTCTGCTCTGATGGGATGGGGCTGTCTGTAAAGGAAGAAGCCCTTGTGCTTGTTTGGAATAAGGCTCTTGACTTTTCCAGCCATCCTGCCCTCTCATTTGTGTGATTCAAGAGCGTCACCATCCTAACATGTGAAAAATCACTGCTTGTTCATTAAAGAACTTAATAAAATTCTAATAGTGTTACTTTCTACAAGTGTCTATTGTCCCATAATTACAATTGTCATTCTTGAAAATATGTGAATGTGCCCTTTTGCTTGACATGGGTTATTTCAAATCCTCATAAGAACACTATGAACAATAAATTATATGCCTAGATTGAAAATTTATAAAAATGAGATTTAAAAGAGTTGAGTAATTTCCTTCAGAATTCATAATGGTGGCTTTTAAATCAAAGCATAAGCCTGTCTGATTCTGAAGTCAAGTTCTGTTTTCCACATTTCCTATTCTCAAACTACACTTTCACTGATGGTTTTTGTTCATACTTTACTAGATGTTTTCTGTGCACTGGCTTTGCTGTGCACACTCCACAATGTGTCACTCGTGTTGCTGAATCCTTTCAGCGCTCTGAGAAAGGCTCATCGCCAGACTTACTTTCCAGATAAGGACCTGAAGAATAGTTACACTTAGCAAGATTGTGTTCTGCTCTAAGGGTGTGTTTCATATTTGACTTGAAGTAGCCTGTGCCTTTGAACACAAACTTGCGTTGCTCCATTTTATTTCTTTTGGATCACACACTATCCTTAGTAGAGAACGCACACCATCACCACACTAACCAAAGAAAT